AGCGAATTGAAACTAATCGCTTTTGATACGGTTATGCAGTTCGAATATTATATGATGTGTATAACATTGTATGATTAATGATATTGTGGAGAAGCATGAGATGTACTCATGTTTGGGAGAACTAAGGATGACTCATTATAATTAAGTTGGCATGGTGTCAAGGTAAAAGTCTTCGAAAACTGCGCATACATGGTGTCGATTCCGCGGAGACGATTAATTTCTGTAAAGATGGTAAATAGAAGTATTTGTATGATAGTATGTTGGTTGACACACACGAGCCTATGTTCTCAGTTTGGTTGTTTGAATGAAATGGAATTGACTCATAGAATTGAGATAAATGATATTGAGACAAAATGAATTGTGAATATGAAAAGTTGATGGCATGTTTGCAACAAAAGTCGTAAACGGTTAATCATGGGGCATTGGACATGCATTCGCTATACTGATATCTTTGTTAAGATTCATATATTGTGTTAGCATGCTTCTACTAGCTTTGGCTCATCCCTAATTTGGGAAAAAACTATTTTCAGGATGTTGTGAATATGTCTCCGCTAAAACAATAACCTGGGAGAATTGGAGCTGAAAGCTTCTTTGATTATTTGTGTTATGTTGACATTCTAAGGCCAAGGGCGTTTAATGTATTGGGATTCGTATCCACTTTGTTGTTAACCAGGCACAGCCTTGGAAATGATAAAAGCCCTTTAGGGCATATGATTTTTTTTTTAACTTTCATTTCTATTACTACTTTGGTAAACACCATGTTGTAGATTCAAGATGAATCATTTATGAATTATAAGACATGTGTCTACTATTTGGTACATCACATATTGATTAATGAAGATTACTATTTTGTTTTGTCACGTGTATTGTTGTTGGAGTCAATTTATGGCATTTATTTCGGGGCAATACACACTTTGTGAAATAATTGGTGAGAAGTCATTTTATGTTTTGAAGAGATATTTTATTTCCAATTATACCCATGAATTTATCTGTTGACTTTTTTTAAATATCTGTTCAGAATTTATTTCTATCTTTTCAATTTTTTTAACATATCTATGAATTTTATAATCTATTTTTTCTATTTTTCAAATTAAAACCATTTTCAAACTTTTTCTGTTTATCTATCTCCTATTCACTTCTCTTTTCTCTCTCTATCTGTCTTTTCTCTGAAAAAAAATCTCTACTTAATTTTGATAGATCGAAGACAACCTTTTATCTGTACAAGTTTTAGTTGCAAAATTTTGTTTGTACATACAAAAATCAATACATGTATCTTAATATGTTTCATCATCATCATCCACATTTTATCGATTGAAATATAAATCATTAAACAGTTGAAATACACACATAACCTCAACAATACCTATACATACAAATGATCAATATTGAATTTTCATAAAAGAATTGGTGAAACATTGGATCAAAAAAATTCATTAAACAATTATAATACTCAATAAAAATAAGAAATAAGAAATAAAAATAATAAATTCTTTCATATATTTTTTGACAAACGAAACAAAGTACTTGTTCTTCTTTAGAAGCCCTAGAGAGACGATCGTGAATAAGACACTTGTGCAATTCCTCTCTAGATTAGCGAATACTACTTATGGTCAGTTAATTCCAATTGCTCTCTCTCTCTCTCTCTCTCTCTCTCTCTAATTCTCTTTCAATAATGTCTTAGTTTGAACTCATTGATGTTATCACTATTTTTTCAAAAGCCACATATATACCTATACATACATATGGATCTATCTACAATATATATATATATTATATTAAAACTCATATTTATCTATGAAAAGAAAATAATGAGAAAATGTGTATAATAAACACATTTTTCTTGTGTATTGTTCATGTTATTATACATATATATATATAATATATATATATATATATCTATATAATAAGGGAGAGTGGTTTTTGAATTTTGATGGGATTGTTGTCTCTTTGTCAAAATATGAACCGTTGGATCGATTCAATCCAACAGCTAAAAAATGTCTAAGAGACATATATTCCAATCCTACGGTGTCCAAGAAGATTCAATTACATTTTCAATGGTGTTTCTTCGAGAGCAGATCGGCATACATTTTCAATATATTTCAATGGTTCTCAAGAGCATGATTTCAATTTAAGACGCATACATTTTTCATTTTCAAGAGCAGATTCAATCCTACGGTGTTTCTTCTTCCCTTCCATCCATCTCTCTCTCTCTCTCTCATTCAAGAGCAGATCGGCGACTTCGCAGATAGAGAGTTTGTTGGGTGCTAGCCTTGCTAGATCGGTGGGTCCAAATCAGTGACATCGCGGCAACAAATCGGTGTTTCTTCTTCCCTTCCATCCATCTCTCTCTCTCTCTCTCTCTCTCTCTCTCTCTCTCTCATTCAAGAGCAGATCGGCGACTTCACAGATAAAGAGGTTGTTGGGTGCTAGCCTTGCTAGAGTCTGTTCATTCCTCATGAGGTTTCGACCCCTTTGTAAGGTTTTCACATACCATTCCTCATAAGGTTCTCCAAAATCTTGACTGTTTTTTTTTTTTTTGGTTTTCTTTGTGTGTATATATATATATATATATTGATTACATATTTTTTTTTGTTTTTTTTTTGTTTGAAATTGAAGAGTTGTTTGCACAGATTTTTCTTTGTTTTTTTTCTTTGATTTTGAATAATTAATAACTGTTGATTTGTTGATTACGGTTTGATTTTTCTTTGATTTTGAATAATTAATAACTGTTGATTACGGTTTGATATGTGGAAATTTGGGGAAATTTTCAAGAATTGAAAACTGTTTTCATTCACCACCTTAAGAGAAAAACTTCATTCAAGAATTTAAAAATCAGCCACTCATAGGCTTTGCTCACTCACTCAAACGGTGGTGGGCAATGACATTATACCAAAAAAAACTTGCAATAGAAAGTACACAACAGAACATGGGGGACCTTATCAGATATTTCAACAAATTTATTGAACCTTCTCAACTTAATGACAGGTGGTTGGTGTAGATGCTAATGGCAAAGGCCAGGTGGTTGGTGTAGATGCTAATGGCAAGTTAAGAATTAAATTTCAGTGGAGAGAGGGGAGGCCATGGATTGGAGATCCTGCCGATATTGCTCTTGATACAATTACCACTTCATGAAAAAACTTTTACCTCTGCCTTTTGAACTCCTTTCAGTTTTACTCGAGAGCCTATGGGGGTGGGCTTTTGGCCCCATCCCAATGGTGAGGTGGAAGAAGAAGCTGATTCTGCTGCTGCTGATGTAATAGAAGATTATTAAAATTTGCTTGAAACTGCATCCATTATTACAGTGTGGACACCATGCTGATCAGATGGATGGATGGATTGATTAATATTTGCCGAAGAGCAGAGAGATGGAAATAATATTTGACCTGCCTTCCCCTACAATCAATTGACAGAATACAACGCAGCCAAGAGAAGGTAACAAATAGTATGTCATTTTATAATTTTAAGGAGATAATGTTATTTGTGGAGGTGAGTTCCAGTGGAGGACATATTTTTATTTGGTTTTTATTTCATTATGTACAAATTGACTCATTTGACCTTGTGAGTTAGTTGACTTTTTTTGGGGTCTCTATAGATGGGTGCTGTTGATGAGTTTTCTTTTATCGGTACTCTCAGCATTAGCTCTTTTTGACCAAAATTGGGGCTACTTTGGGATGTGCATTCTAACATGTTCAAAAGTGAATTTGCAAATGACACAAAAGAATGAATGCACTTTTTTTTACACTGTTCTCTTTCTATTGTTAGTATTTTCTTTTGCAGCATTAATTCTTGAAGGCTACAATAATGGAAGTTTGGTGTTTGGGCTAGGTGTGTGTTCTCTTCCCTTTCTTATTTTCTTCTCACACCCCCCCCCTTTTTAAAATTTTTGAGAACCAACACAACGAGGCCTTTCCCTTTTTGTTTGTAATATTCATCAACTCCTAATTTTTTCAAAATCATTTTTTTAAAAAAAATTCAAACCTACCGGATAATCATGCTAAACCAGATTCATAGCTTTGGTGCATCACTTTGAAAGTTTGTAAGTTTAAATAAATCTATTGAAATATCTTCTTTTTTCTTTCTTTTTTTTCAAAAAATAAAAAGCAACTGATGGGACTAAAGTGAATAATGATTTGGGTATTTTCCCGCGTTTTGTTTTTGTTTTTGTCCTTTTTTTTCTTTTTTTTTTGAAAATTAAGTTGAGAAGGTTCAATAAATCTGTTGAAATATCTGATAAGGTCCCCCATGTGTTCTGTTGTGTACTTTCTATTGCAAGTTTTTTTTGGTATAATGTCATTGCCCACCACCGTTTGAGTGAGTGAGCAAAGCCTATCATAATGTCATTACCAAATACCTGTAAGTATAATAGTCTGATATGAATCATGATTATTTGTTTTTTTTTAAGCCTTATTTTTTGTCCTCTTACATTTTATTATTATTCATAAGGTTGTCAATATCAACAAAAGTGCATGAAAAAGAAAAGATCATATGAATTCATCTAATATTCATCAACTCCTAATTTTTTCTTTGTTCAGCCACAAAGATCATATTTTTCTTTGTTTTTTTTTCTCGAGTATTGTTTTTCTTTAATTTTGGGTGCACTTTTATGGGTTTTGTTAATTTTGGGTGCATTTTACTTTACTTTACTTTAATTTTGTATCTTTTCTATTGAATGGTTGTTACCAAAAATGTTCGAAACCCATTCTTGGTATCTTCTCTCATATTGATTTAGTAGGAATTATTGGAAATAAGAAGAATGTTCTGCATTTTTTGATAATGCAGAACATTTCTGAGTGTTTATTCTTACTTGGACATGCATGTTGTTTATTCTTAATTTTTGATATTTTTCTTTTATACTATCCATTTTTTGTTTTTAACCTGATGCATATGGATAGGTAGATGGAACTTACATAATATCGAAAATTTGGTTCACAAAGTATGTACACTAGCTCAGGACTCCACAGAATAACATGAAAAAAGCTGCTTGAGGGCATCAAGTTTGCAGTGCCTTTGATAGTTCGATTTATTTTTCATGGTGCAATTAGTGATCCAATTTTGTAAAAGAATTCCTTCGCTATATCCTTCGATTAAAACTGCATTTTCTACTTTATTTGTCTATTGTTTCCTTTCTATTTTTAGAAAAATAGACTTTCTAGATGTAATTCTATTTAATGATTAGCTTTTTCCCCTTGCAGGTGTGGTTTATGGCGGGGTTTTCACACATTTTTTTTGTTGATTTTTATGAGGTCGGTCATTTTTTTCCCTGCATTACTTAAAGCTATATAGCGATCCCGGTTATCCTTTTACTGTTCTGTTATTTTCCGGACGCAGTTCCGTGGAGTTGGCAGTTGTACCTATCGTGTTTTAAACTCTTTTGTTCGAGTTTTAGAATGTGTTGGGCTCGGTTGTTTCAGGTTGTTAGAGCTTTAGCTCCCATTGTTGTGTGCCCAGTTTTTGAATGGTCCGTCGGCGGTCTTTCTTGCGCTCGAGCGGGGGTTTTCACAGTTCAGTATTTTGTGCTCTGCAAACTTCTGCAGATGTGCTTTTCTGCGTCGAGCTGGTTTCTTGTGCTCGAGCGGGTCGCGCTCGGAGCGGGATTGGTAGCGCTCGAGCGGGTAAGTACCTTTTTGGTGTAAATTCTGGGAGGGGAAAATACGCTCGAGCGGACTGGTTTTCACGCTCGAGTGGATGTGCTTTATTCTTGTGTCTTGGCGCTCGAGCGGGCCTTTTTGCCGCTCGAGCGGACCTAGTTTTTGTTTCTTGACGCTCGAGCGTTGTGTCCTCCGCTCGAGCGGGAGAGTCGTATAATCAGTTGACAGCTAGGCTATTTTTAAATCACTTTTTACATCCACACACTCTCTGTTACTTTTCTAAAACCCATTTTTGAGAGCTCCTCTCTCTAGAATCTCCCTCTCTCTAGGTGTTGATCTAGCTAGAGTGTTCTCATTACCTTTGGTCTTTTTAAAAGTGGGTTGATCTGTCAGGGCTATCATTTGATCCGAAAATATTGAGCTTTGGAGCACGTTGAGTTTCTTCGTCTTTCTCCGTTAAGAGCCATCTTTTGAGGTAGGGATATCCTACTCCTCCTTATGGATTTTGTCTTTAAATTTAGCATTTTGATATGTTGGGTGTTGTTGGGTAGATTGAGAAAGTTTGGGCCTTTTGTGTAATTATACAAAAATTTGGGGCTTTGTTTTGGGAATAAACCTATGTGGCAAGTTGGATGATGGATTGTGATGAAAAGTGGAACCTTAGAGTTGTTTTTCTTAATTAAGGTAATTTGCCCTAATTGTTTAATTTAATTAATGTATATATTGATTAAAGGAAATAAGGAATTGAATTGGAAATATTTGAAATTGGGAATGTATGGAACTAAAAGGGTGTAGTTAAATCATTTATTGCTCACCTAATTGGAATGTTGATATATTATCCATTTGTGCATCTATTTCCTGTTTAGAAATAATTGCTTTTGGGCTATCCGGTGGAGGGTAGTATCTGATTGTTGTAGACAATGTATGATGATTAGGTAACTAACTAATCAAGTGGAGTGTCATATGAGCAGGACGGTTGATAGAACGCATTAACTTTATTGTTGGTTTGATAGTGCATATGGCCAATGGTGTTTATAGCATTATGTGTAGACAGTTGCTAGAATCATTAACTTTATTATCGATTGATTTGCGTATGTGATTTCTGTGTTTATATGCATTACTTGTGTATGGAAGGAGATGGGGGATGTATCCCACGGTTTTCAGGGGAAGATGGGGGGGGATGAACTCTAAACCGGTTAATGGTTATGGTAAGGGAAGATGGGGGATGGACCCAGGGATGCAGCTCATATGCTCTCCCATTTGGAAGTGTTGGTACAGCTCATATGCTTTGTCATTGAAGTGTTGATACAGTCATATGCTTGTCATTGAATGTGATATAGCTCATATGCTTTATCTGTGTGGTATTGATGTAGCTCTATGCTTATCTGTGTAGTTTGATGTAGCTCATATGCTTTATCTATTTGAAAAGTTTGTTTGATTTGATATAGAACTAACATGTATATCATCATCGTTTGTTGAAGTATGGAAAGTAGCTTATGTTGTTTATTGATACAACACAAAATGTGGTATCCCACCTGAATTTCGAAAATGTTCTAGGTGAACTATAATCTCATACAAATGTTTTGGCAGAGTGCTGAGCCTTGTTTTCAAACTCAAAGTTGAATAAGAATGGAAGTGAATTGTAACATAGACTTACCGTCATGGAATGAATAAGCTGTAATTGAATGTGTAAGTATCACCATCTATTCAGTTGCTAAAATCTTTTAAGGCATTGTTTATAGTTGGTTTAGTATATTCTGCTGGGTCTGTGGCTCACCCTATATGGAACATCATTTTTCATGGTACAGGTAGCATGCCACCTTAAGGATCATAGCTTGGGAGGCTAGAGCGGACATACTTTGGCTGTCTTATTTTCCTTGATTGTATTTTACTATAGTTTTTCAAGCCAAGAAGCTTAAGGTGTAATTGAGTAGCACTCTCTTTGTAACCAGTGTTAACTTGAAAAGCTGTAAGCCGTAGGGCATTTGCCTTTGTGTTGTAAATCATGTAACACTGTTGTCATGAATAC